CTGTCCAGAAGTGTGGGCTGTGTATTATCTGATCAGTTTATGGTCCCAATAAAAGTTAAGGTACATGAAAAAATAATCTATAATTGAGCAACTTTTCTTTGTTCAGCTTTAGTTTTAGTAAACATTAACGTATGGTGAAAATCACAATTGTGTTTAAATACCATCTGCTCATTTTTAATCTCTTGATAAGCTCTGTTACTCATTTATAATTTTTTGGTGATGAGACAGCTCCATACATGAAATGAAGCCTTTTATTTTTACCTATGTTGGTCATTAGTTGACATTCTGTCACATTCCACATAATAGAGAGGGGTACATTTTGGGATTTTCCTTTCTTAATTGCCCAGTTGTCAGATTATAAAAATGGCTTGTAATGGCTTAAAACAGTTTTACGCCTCTCTCTTAGCAGATCAGTGTGGGATCTTATTCTTTTGATAAGCTGTAGGGCTAAAATGATTGTGGGACCATGGGTTCTCTGATGTTGATGGTTTATGTTATTAAACCTTTTTTTAAAAGGTTCACTATAAAAGCTGAACTACACTCTTAGCTTTTAATCTACCTATCAGTAGCCTTTTAAGGAAAATAAATACAACACGCAAAGGAGGCATTTTTTGTATTCATTTTGAACTCCTGTCAATAAAATAGAAATTTGACTCAAAAAAAAAGGAGGAGGAAGGGAAAGAGGGGGAAGAAGAGGAGGAGGAGCCTTGGGTCCCTTTGTGGACCCACCCCTACCCCCACCCCGGCAATCCTAAGGGTGCTGTTGCCGTAAGGGACCCCAGAAACCACGCCCTGCTCCCTCGTAGTAAGAAGCAGGCCCAGAAAGAACTGGTGAGGGGTGGTTCTCTTTGGCAGTGCTGGGGATGGGAGCCAGGGCCTTGCACCCGAAGCAGCACTCCCAGGCCCAGGAACCTTCATTTTGCTTTATTTCTTTTTCAGACACGCTGACCTGGAACTCACTATGGACCCAGGCTGGCCTAGAACTCACAGGTATCCACCTACCTCAGCCTCCCCAGTGCTGGGATGACAGGTGTGCCCCACCACACCTGCTGCCAAGAGCATTTTTAAAGGGCAACTGGAACCCACGTAGGAGAGAGCGCCAGTCCCCCACTCCCACCTCTGCCGCAGGAATCCCTGTGGTGCAGAAGAGTAACAAACTGGCCCGGTAGCTCCTCAGACAGGCAGAGCACAGCGTCACAGCGCAGGGGACGGGGTGGGCTAGTCGCCAGGGTTGCCCAGAAGCAGAGCAGAGATGGCCAGGAGCTCAGGGACCCTTCACTTCCCCCTACCCCCTCCCAGCCTCACCCTGAGGCTCTGCGGAGGAGGACTGGGTGTCCACCCAGCCAGGCACGGCACGAAAAGTCAGGGAAACCAAAAATAAAAAAAATCCACAACAAAAATGCTTCAGACCTGGGCGTGGAGGTGCACATCTGTCATTCCAGCACTGGGGAGGCTGAGGTAGGAGGATCACCAAGAGTTCCACGCCAGCTTGGGCTACATGGTGAGTTCAAGGCCAGCCTGAACTACATAGCTAGACCTTGTCTCAAATAAAACAAAACAAACAAAGTAAAAGGCAGGCCCACTCTCCCCGGAGGGCAGTGGGGTGATAGGCAACCAGGCTCCATTTGTGTACCTGACTCCATTTGTGTAAAGTTGAGCTATTCTGGGTGGTGGCCGCCTTCCTCTTCCTCCCTCTGGCCTTGGAAGTCCCCTCAGTTAATGCCAAACAGACCTCTGCATCCTGTGAGTCTGCAGCTATGTTCTTTACTACCTGGTAAACAGAAGACCAAGGAGGACTTATGTGATACTTTGCTGTAACTAAACTGTGCAGAAACTTTCCCCACACACTAGTTTAGCAAAGTTCTGCCCCTGTGAAACTCCACCTGTTCTCCCTGCTCCCTGAGCCCTCCCCAAATAGAAGAGCCCTTAAGAGGACCCTGCAAACTGCTTTTCCCTTGGCCAGAGTTTTTGCAGGGGGAGCCCACTTTGGATCAGCTGGCTATGATAATAAAGGATTCCATTTAACTCAGAGTGTGGCATCTCTATAGTTCCAACTCTCCTGGCCCTATAACAGTGGGACAGGCAGCGTGTCCCTGTCTGTCCCCACACCCAGCAGGCCGGGCAGTGCCTGGGAAGGAGCCACCTGGGAGCCAGGCGAGGCCCAGAAAGGGACCTGTGCCCCCAAGTGTGGCAGGTGAGGGTGCACCCCTCTCAGGCCTGTCTGGAGCGGAAACCCTCCAGAGGGTGCCGGCTGCTCCCACCTGAACCCTTCTGTCACGGTGGAGCTGAGCACTCTTGGGAGGCTGAGGCAGGAGGATCAACCAAGAGTTCCAGGCCAAGCGGGGCTACATAGTGAGTCCAAGACTGGTGTGAGGTAAATAGTGAGATCCCATCTCAGATAAACAAATGAATAAAAAAGTGATAGCTCTGGAAAGTTTAGACACCTGGGGGAGGGAGTGGGAGCGATTCCCAGGAAAGGGGGGGGGCAGGGAGGGGCAAGAGCGGGAAGGCTCAGTCAAAGCCACCCAGTCAGTAAGAGCAGTCAGTGCGGCAGAATCACAAAGGCGCCCCTATCCGGAACTGAAAGCTCGGGCTTCCCGGGCCAGGCTCCGGGACCATCCCCCGCAGGCCCTGGGGCCTGAAGCCAGGGCTTTCCCGCTGAGCTTATATTTTGAGGCAGGGTCCAAGCTGCTAGATTGCCCAGCCTCTCACAATGCTGGGATTGCAAACCACCTTCTCTTAATATTTTATTTTATTTGAGGCAGGGTCTCACTATGTAGCCCAGGCCGGCCTTCAACACACTGTGTAACCTAGGCTGGCCTCGAACTTGCAGTGATCCTCCTGCCTCAGCCTGGCGAGTGCTGGGATGACAGTGCCCCCCCCACCAACAGCCCCTCTGGCCACACTTCCATAGATTTCATTTTTCTTTCTGTGGTGCTGGAATTAAACCTAAGGCCTCTCACACGCTAGGCAAGTGCTCTACCACTAAGCCACATGCCCAGACTTTTAAAATTTTATTTTAGTTTTGGTTTTATTGAGACAGGGACTCACTGTGTAGTTTAGGCCAGTCTTGAACTCTTGGCGATCCTCCTGCCTCAGCTTCCCTAGTGCTGAGATTACAGGCGTGTGCACCATCCCCAGCTTCTCACATTTTCTTTTTGGCTGGCTTTCTTTCCATGTACGTGGAGCTAAGGCAGTTGTGTTTTGGGGAGATCTGAACCCACCGGGCCACAAGCTGTACCAGGAAGCTGGCCAAAGAGCTAGGGTGTGAGGCACCTCCACGCAGAGGCTCCGGGGATACTTCGGACACTCGGAGGCATTGAGGGAGCTGGGTGGGGTGCCTGTGCCTTTCAGAGAACCATGGCAACCAACCGGGTCCTCGGAGCTCAACGATGTCATAATCCCTGTGTGTGAAGTTCTGATGACGAAGCCCAGCCTCCCTGGAAGCTTCAGGCCGCTCCCCCGCCCCCCGGGCTCGGAGGAGGAACTTTACCTGGGGCTGAGATGGAGCTACAAGCACTTCCCTGGTACCGGAGGACACCCCTGCGGATCCTCAGTATGTCACTCGGAGAGGACAGCGTGGCGGGGCTGTGGCAGGGGTGGCTTGGGAGACTCTAGCCCACACTGCGGCCTGCGCAGGCCTGGTGACCGTGCAGGGCTCAGAGGTGACAGGCGGGCAAGTGGAAGGAAGGCAAATGCTGGCCGCTTCTAATGGGGACACAGGGACAGCTGGCTCCGTGCCTGGGTGGGTCCCTCATGGTGGGCGGACAGGAGTTGGGGCCGTGCCTGCCGTGCTGCCCACAGCTTGGCCTCTTGAAAGGGGGTAGCTGTAAGAGAGGACCCTTACAAACTCAGGACACCTCTTCCTTCACACTATCTCCTCCAAATTTCAACCTTTAAAAATCCTCTTCTTTCTTGTGACAGGGTCTCCCTATGTCATTTCTGGCTGGCCTTGAACTCACTATGCAGCCCAGGCTGGCCTGGAATTTGTAGCGATTCTCCTGCCTCAGCCTTCCCAGTGCTGGGATGACAGACGTGAGCCACCAAGCCTTGCCGCTACTCTTTTTTCTCACCCTTCCCTTTTCTTCCATCTTTCGCAGGAATTCCTGGTACCGCAAAGAGCCAAGGCCCCTTGGATAGTTTTCAAACCAACAAAACTGATGCTGGGGTTTGAGGCAAGACGCCCTGCTCCAGTGCAGGACCCTGAGCCCCTAACATCCCTTCCTCTCCTTAAATTTCACCAGCACCTGCCGGTAACCAGGACCCCAAATCCCCGCGAATTTTCCTACCGCCGTTAGCGGGGTGACAGTGCCCCCCCCCCGCCCACAGCGACACGCGTCGCTCAGGGTTGCTCCTCCAGCCATGGCTGGAGAACTATCGGACCTCATTCATTCTTTCACCCGGGTACGCTCATCCCTCGTCGGGGCTCGTGGTGGGGAGGAGAGAGGCGCGTGGCCACCCGCAGTCCCTGCCCTCACATCCGCAGCTTGTCACATTGGTACTGCCAAGTCCTCTTTTCCTTTGCAACCCGCCCACCAGGGGCGCGACCCTCCTCGCCGGCGAGCAGGGCTCCCCGCTGGGCCCCGCGATCGGCCCCGGAGGCACCCGGGTAGGGGCGCCGACTACGGGCCAGGGGCCAGGGCCGGGGCCGGGGCGCAGGGCCGCAGCGCGGCGGGAGCAGAGCTCAGCGCGGGCCGCCTGACCTGGCCTTTCCGCGCCAGAGGCCGAGGCCTGTGGGAGTCTCGGGGCCACACTCAGAGTCCTCCGAGATCGGGGTCAGCTCGGGGAGGGCGTCGCGCCGTGCGGGCGACGACATTGTCATTCTCCCGTCGCCTGGGCGGCCGGCGCCGGCGGGTCGTTCCGTTTGAATGAAAGATCCCAGTGGCCGCGCCCAATGGGCGTCCGCGCCTGCTTAATATGCATGAGGCCCGCAGCCAATGGCTGGGCGAGGAGGCTGTTTTAAACGGCGGAGCCCGCTGGCCAATCAGGCGGCTCTCGTGGAGGCAGCTAGCGCGAGGCTGCGAGCTCGATCCGCGCGTCGTGCCCTGCGCTGCCCAGACTCGCGAACAATACAGGTACGATCCGCAGCGCCCGTCGCAGCGCCCGAGCAACTTTCCGGCCCGCACCACCCGCCCCGCGCCCGTCGCCCTCCGGCCGGCCTCAAACGGGGAAGCGATCCAGGTGTTGCAACTTTTCCGAGGCTCTTGCCCGCGCTCCCGGTTCCCAGGCTCGGCTGGCTCCGCGGAGCCTCGCTCCCCGGTTACCCCTGGGGACGGCAGCCAAGGGCCAAAGGCTTCCCCGCCCCTGGCCGGCCGTGCGGCCGCGGCGGAGACCCGACCGAGGCGATCGGGGGGCGGCGGCTGGCGGGGAGCGGGCGCCCGGCTGGGGGGACTCCGCGGGGGGCGGCGGCCGGTGCGCGCCCGGTGCGCGCCCGGGGCCGCGGAGCCAGCAAACTTCGCTGCTGGGGCGCGGGCTGTGCCGCGTGCTCGCAGAACATGGCCGTCGAGGGCGCGGGGACCCGGGGGTCGCAGCCACGCTGTCCTCGCTGTCCCCGCTGCCCGCCCGGCCCCCGATCGCCGCCGCCGCGGTCGCCGCCAACATGGCTGGCGCGGTGCGGGCT